TGCCCTTTGCTGCGCCTGGTTTGTATCAATACATCAATGTTTCCACCTCAAATCCTTCTTTTTTTTTTTTTTTTTGCAATAAATCAAATTTTCTTCTTAAATTTCTGATCTTTCCAGTAAGGTTTTCTTAATGTGCAAACTGAAAATGCTGGGAGGTTGCCCAAAGTGTAGTGTTTGCACCCATACAGGTAAAACAGTAATGTCCACATCCCCAAAATCCATTAAGTACATTTCAGATTACATTTAAGGCTCACCTTGTGCTAACTCTGCTTGGACAGCAGGCCCAGCTGCAGTCAGAATAGCTTTGGAGACACCTGTGGAGTTGGTGAATACACAGTTAGGATGCAACCTAGGGTAATAAACTTTACAATATATGAAACTCTTCAGCAGACTGAGGTGCTGCGGTCGTACCTGCCGGGTTATTAGAGAAGTCAGTTGTGTTGACAATGACATCGGTGCCCTCATTTGTGATGTCACCAAGGACCATCTGAAGTCTGACTCCGCCCAGCATTGCTGTGATCTCATCATTAGTTGCAGAGACATGGCGATAAAAGGAAGCTGAAGTCACGGCAATGAAAAAGAAAGTACAATCTTGGTTTAGCATCTGCATTTATACATTCTGAATATAAACACTGAAGCAATCAGGTTTCACAATTCAAATTAGCTAAACTACAACTGACAAAGAACACAACTTCTTAGCCTCTTTTAGTTTGTCGTTTTGGTTATATAGAGCATGTCTTTTAGCAACCAACCTCTGTACACTACAAGCCCAAAGTAGCATTTAACCACAGGATGAGGAAGACCAGGTTAAGACCAAGCTATTTTTCTCAGCTTGTTTAAAAAATTATTTCTGGTCCCAAAAGGCTGTAAAATGATGAATGTAGTCTTACAATTTTAGTACATTTATTTCAAAATAAGGACTTTACTAAAGTCCTGTTCAACTAGAAACTGAGAAGAAAATATGGGGCAACTATTGTTCAATGGCTAGAGCAGTCATCTCCCCACCAGAGAGTTAGTGGTTTGAATCACGGTGCCTACAGTCCACATGTCGAAGTGTCCTTTGGCAAGACACTGAGCCCCCAAGTTGCCCCTGATGGTTAGAGCCATCGGTGTGAGTTGGCGCCACAGATGGCTGCCTCGGTTCTGTACCAGAAACAAATTCCTTGTGTGTGTAACATACTTGGCCAAATAAAGGTGATTATTAAAATATTCACACCAACCTTGGTCTGGGTTAGCGTCATTTGTGAACCCTCTGAGATGCAGGGTGTCCTGGGCAGACTGAAAGGCCTGTAGAGACAAAGTGAAAAGCATTAATCCAGTTCCATGACCACATGCTAAACAGAAAAGAAAATGTGATGTGGTTGTTGTTTTCAACTTATTATACTTGTTAACAGCTTTAATGGTAATTAGATAATCCTATGGATAACAATTTCTTTAAATCTGAATTTGTATAAACAATAACCGAATTACCAGTTCATCGCATTGTTGATATCAACATTTACTTAAACTAGACAGACTTTATGACTTTTTTGATACATAAAAAGCAACTGCATTTCCTTTACCATGCTAGATTCTCTGTCGTTGGGGTGAATGATGATACGGATCAGGAAAGGTGATGCGCTGGCTCGGTCCTGGTCAAATACTTTGACTTCCTCAAGTATAACCCTGGATGCTAAGCTGTGAGGAAAATTCAGGACAGCACCAGTCCCAAGTACAGAGAGAGCAACTGAACTATAGCGTTTGATCGAGCAGGAAGCAAGAATCTTTCTTATGCCCTGCCTCAGAACCTGAAAGATACAAGGATTATAAAGATTACTATGACACTTAGCTTTTAAATACAGTTTCAAGTTTAAAAAAAAAAACTAAACTGACTGCACAAAACCTACTCAGCGCCACAGCAAAAGATATATTCACTGAAGCCAGGATTTCACCTGAACTGCATTGTCATGTTGGCTATTATGCCAGCGTGCAAGATTGAGGAAGATCACTGCTTTAGACTGAAGTCCAGCCAAGCCCTCCACCAGTACTATGTCGCCAGGCAGTGTAACTCCTCCTGCTGCTTCCTTTTCAAACTTTGCAGTCAGCTCAGATCCAACCACATTGGACAAAATGTTTCCAATGCGGGTAGAGCAAGGACTATGGCCAGCCATAGGAGAAACCAGCACATCCACCTAAGAGAAAACGTGTGTAATGTTATCCAAGTGAACATGTTTAGCCCACAAGTAGAATCTCTGTTTCTGTATGCAAACCAATCCATCAGCTATGGCAGCACGTCTAAAAACTTCTGAATCATATGTATGAATGCAATGTCAACATCTCAAGAAGGTTTCTCACCTGCTGGGTCTCAATAGTTCCCTGAATGACCTCTATGTGGACACTTCCCCCAGCAGGGGCTCCTCTTGCTGTGTGTTGGGCAGCAGCACCCATCTGGAACCCCAAATCACTTGGTGTACTGTTTCCAGGACTTATCCCCTGAAGAAACCTGTCACATGCTTCCTGCATGGCCCTCACCACCTCTCCTCTGTTATCAATCAGGATGATTCTACGAAGACTTCGCCCTCCCTGACTACCAAAGATTTTTACAGCTGTTACAATAGCCTCGCAGCACACAGTGACAGGAACACCGAACAGGCCTGAG